TTAATGTGGCACCATGAAACATGCATTACTTCTTTGCATCAAAATTTTATTTTCACAAGTAGAATTGGCAAAAAATTAAAATGAAGAGACTATTTTTTTTTTTTTAGCTGGGGGTAGACTTTATTTATTCCCTTACATAGTTTCTTATCAATCGAAACTTAATGATTTAAGGTTATAAATTTTTTTGTTTTGCTAGACTAAAACTGTTGCAATTAATTAGTTTGTCACTACTTCAAGTTGATTTCAAGCTTATATGGGGTTCATCCTTTGTGGGATATCTTAGGAATATAATTAATGTCATTTTTCATATCTTTTTTTCAGGCTTGTTTTGTAAATTAAGTTCATTCATTTTTTTTTTTAGTTTTGTTGGTTGGTCGTTCTTTATTAAAGCCCAACTCTTTGACTCTGTGTGTTTGAAGGCCGATGAGGTGACAATTGGAAACTAAACATTTTTATAATATATCTTACTTTTATTTATTTCAGCTGATAAATCAGAATTCTTCACATGTGTAATTCATCATGGAGGAAAGATAATGCATGATGAAAAAAAAGGCACAAAGTATAAGGGTGGAAAAGTTAGTTATGTTGACTTCATAAATGTTGATAAGATTTCTTGGCTTGAATTAGAGGACAAGCTAGAGATACTGGGGCATAATATTGAAGATGTGAATTGTTTTTGGTTAAAGCCAGGTTTGAAACTTATTGACAGTCTTATCAAAATGATCGATGATAAAACAATAATGGATATGGTTGCACACTTACCTTCTGATCATTATGTACATGTTTATGTGGAGGTGAAGTCAAATAATTATTGGGATAGAAATGAAGAGAACAATGTTGACAATGCTAGTGATGATGTTAACAATAAAAATAGTGACAATAGTGATAATGAAGATCCAGATTATGAAGAATCTAGATTTGAGGAGAGTGATAATGAATTAGAGGATTACGAAAACTTTTTTGAACATGAGGTGGATCTAGGGCTTGATGGTGGTGCTACAATTTTGATTGGAGGTTATCCTACTAGTAATATTCCAGAAAATGAAGGACTTAATACTGATAACTCACATGAACTACATAGCCTATATGAGTCTGACGATGATGGCACTTCTAAGAGAAGGTATCCAGAGTTCAATGAGAGTGTTGACATCGAGAAACTAAAGTTGGTTGTAGGAACGTTATTCAAAGATAGGGAATTATTGAAACAAGCTATTAAACAAGAAGCAAGGATGAATAGGGTGGAAGTTAAGTTTGAAAAGAATGATAAGAAAAGGGTTAAGGCAATTTGTAAGGAAGAGAATTGTCCTTGGGAAATGCGGGCATCACTCGCTGATTGTTAAGGCAGACCAAGACACAACTTGGCAGATCAAGACTTTGAAATATGGGCATAATTGTGGGAAAAAGACAGAGAATAAAAACTTCTCTGCACAATGGCTAGCAGAACATTATTTGGACAATTTTAAAATTGATCCAAACTGGGCACCATGTGCACTGCAAGCTCAAGTTAGAAAAGACTTTTTCACCATAGTTAATTACCAAAAATGTTCCAGAGCTAAGGAAAAAGCAAAGTCAATAATTAATGGAAATTTCATTCAACAATTTGAATACATATATGATTATATAGATGTAGCGAAACGTTGGAATCAGGGCAACACCATGATTTGTCATAGTGAGGCATCACTTTTTCAAAGGATGTATGTTTGTCTTGGACCAATTAAGCAAGGCTTTAAATTTTACATTATTTTCATTCTTTGTGAAAAAAGGCATAAATGCATAAGAATAGGAGTTTTTGGGATTAATTGAAAAATTGCAAAAGGAAATTTTACATTATTTTCATTTTTTGTGAAAAAAGACATAAATGCATGAGAATAGGAGTTTTTGGGATTAATTGAAAAATTGCAAAAGGAGGCTAGAAACCCGACACGGGTGTGGTGTCGACACGTAATTCATGGTGTCAGCACCATGCGTTCAGTGTCTTAGAGTTGATTTTCATGTTGTAATGCCATGCCAGATCTGATGTGGCATTTAACTTAGCCACCTTAACAGGGATTTAACATTTTCAGTTAATATTAACCGTGGGTGACTAACGGTTGGACACCTTAGGAAGTTAGGTGACCATTTTGTTAGGTTTAGAAGTTGAGTGACCAAAAC